TATTTGAATTATTTTGCATAGGACATTAAATATGGGATTAAGGTTCACTTTTGTTGCAGATGGATTTCTACTTGTTCCACTACCATTTGTTGAAAAGAACATTCTTTCTCCATTGAATTACCTTTGTGTATTTATCAAACATCAGTAGACTATATTTGTGTTGGTGTATTTTTGAGCTCTCTTATCTGTTCCATTGATCTTTGATTGATTATTTTTATGTTATCACACTGTCTTGGTTAATGTAGTCTTGAAATTTGATAGTGTGTGTCCTCTAACTTTGCCCTTCTTTATTTAGAATATTTTAGTTATTCTAGTTTCTTTTTCTAAAAAAAAAAAAAGATTTGAAAGGCACAGCAAGGGAGAGAGAGGGAGAGAGAGACAGACAGACATAGAGATCTTATCTCTTCTGATTCCAAAATGTCCACAACAGCCAGGACTGGGCCAAGGAGAAGTCAGGAGGAGCCAGGAACTCCATCCTGGCCTCCCACATGGGAAGGAAGGGCCCAAGTCTTTGGATCATGTTCTGCTGCTTTCTCAGGCACATTAGCAAGGAGCTACATCAAAAGCAGAGCAGCCAGGAATCAAACCAGTATCCCATGTGAGATGCTAGAGTCACAAGCGGCAACTAAACCCACTGCACCACAATGCTGGTCCCACTCTGGCTTCTTTGACTTTTTATTTAAAATTAGCTTGTTGCTCTTTACAAAAATGAACAAAAACATCTTCATCTGATCATTATCGCGGTGATGATCATAAAACTAAAGGGTACTGAATTCTTAACAATGTTGGCTCTTCCAGTCCATGAATACGAAACATATTTCCCTTTTAAAATGTCTTCTTTCATTTCTTTTTATGAGTTTTACTGCTTTAAGCAAATAAATCTTGCTCATATTTTGTTAGAGTCACACCTAAGTGATCCATTCGTTGGTGCTATTGTAAAGTTATTTTTTGAATTTCAAATTCCAATCGTGTGGCCAGTGCTGTGGCGCAGTAGATTAATCCTCCTCCTGCAGAGCCGGCATCCCATATGGGCGCCGGTTCTAGTCCTGGTTGCTCCTCTTCCAATCCAGCTCTCTGCTATGGCCTGGGGGAGCAGTAGAAGATGGCCCAAGTCCTTGGGCCCCTGCACCTGCATGGGAGACCCTGAAGAAGCCCCTGGCTCCTGGCTTCCGATCGACACAGTTCCGGCTATTGTGGCCATTTGGGGAGTGAACCAAAGGAAGGAAGGAAGACCCTTCTCTCTGTCTCTCCCTCTCACTGTCTGTAACTCTACCTCTCAAATAAAATAAATAATTAAAAAATCCAATTAATCATTTTTGGTATATTGGAATACAATTGAGGAATTAACCTTTTATCCTGAGACCTCAGTGAACTTACTTACTAGTTCTAGAATCTTTCAAGGATCCTTTAGGACAATGAATGGTAGCACAGTTCTGCCTGAGTGACACTCCTGCTTTGGGAACTGGACTCTTGAGTAAGGGTGGGCATTACCTTTTTAGATCTTTTCAGCTTGCCTCTCCCAGACAATAGGTGCCTCAGTATTCTCAGAACTCTTTCTAATGGGCACAGGCTGGACAGAAAGGAGGCTTCACCTTTTAGCCGCTCTTACCCAGAACTTAGCCTCTGCAACAGAGAGCTCAAGGCACGATGAGAAGTTCTGTCTCTACTAGAAAGAGTTTGAGACTCTCCAAGTATGAGCTTGTGGGGAAGATACACCTGTGCTCTTGATCACACCACTCTGGAGTGTTTTCATCATGCTGATCTTGTGGGTGGGGAAGGAGAGAATCTTGGCTCAAATGCCTCATGTTCTCTTTGTTCTTATTAAGCTTTAGACTTTCTTGAAGAAATGTTTCTTCATTTGCTGTGTGTGTTTAGGACCATTTACAAAGATTTTTAAGTTATTGTATTTTTTTTTCATAAAAGATAACTTTCACCTATTTCACTGGGGAGTGGATTGTCGTCATTTTAACGTCTCCACCAGATAGTTCCAAGATCTGTATCATATCTGATTCTGATCCTGACGATTGCCTTTCTGTTCAGAATGTTGTATTTTCTTGTGTTTTGTATTTCACATTATGTTTACTTGCAAGCGGGATGCTTATAAGGTAATAACTACTGAAGTAGATTTTATTCCTGGGTATGTCCATGTCTTTCCCTCCGCTAAGTTTTTAAGTGTGGAGATTCGCTTTAATCTAGTCAGAAGTTAGGTGAACTTTGATGTTTTCCTGCCATTGGGCACTGAGTCTTCTTACCCGGCTTTGCATTTTCCCTCTGTGATGCTTCTCAGAAAGAATCTGTCTCTTACTGAACTCCACTGGGAGTTTTACTCAGTGTTCGTTAGCATCATTGCGGAAGCAGAAAGGGCATTCTTTGATGAGCTGATCAAGTCTTCATCTTAGCAGGAACTCATTATCTAAGTTTAGGTGGTGTAGCCATTGCATGTGTTCATGCCTCTCCCCCAGGGTAAAGCTGGGATTAGCACACATACCTGACCCCTTCCCCTCATAGAGCCTTGGGTTTTTTTCTGTTTCCTTTCCCCAGTGACAGTGGGTTTCTTCCAGTAACTTCAGGGTGTGAATTTTGTCATCCTTTCTCCATATTAGGACTTCTTTTTACTAGGGGGCTAAGTCTAGTTGAATTTTTCGCAGTGACTGCTATTTTCCTCTCTTATTGAAAACTGAGGCCTGCTCTCTAAGGTTCTCACTGATATTCCCTGGGAACACTTAGTGGTGTTTCTGGAGTAAAGCCTGAAAGACAGTGAAAGACCATTGACACCTGGGGCGCTCAGGGACTTCAACCACTTGCATGCTAGCCCTCCGGCAGTCCATTAGTCATTTCTAGTTCAGTTTTCTTAGTGGCCTACATGGTATTTGATAGTATCTATTCTGGGTAAATACATACTGGGGTATTATTTTTCCCTCTATGTGTTTTTCTTTAGATATTGGGATAATGGTTTGCCTGTGAGCTCAGTCCTCTGATGGTTTTAAGAAAATGCATGTTTGCAGTTTATTTTACTTTTCCCTTTTTCTGAATCTGTAACTTTTTTCAGCTTTCTATTCGGAGCTGAAACTGGACAGTGCCTTGTTTATTTTATAATTTAAATATTATATTCAATTTAAGGTTCCCTGTATGTGTGAGAATAAAGTAGATATCCCTTATTATATGGTCATGCTTAGCAATATTGACCATGGCCTATTGGCTCAACATGGATGGATGAAAAGATTGAATAGTTGGGCCGGCGCCGTGGCTCACTTGGTTAATCCTCCGCCTGCAGCACTGGCATCCCATATGGGCACCGGGTTCTAGTCACAGCTGCTCCTCTTCCAGTCCAGCTCTCTACTGTGGCCCGGGAAGGCAGTGGAGGATGGCCCAAGTGCTTGGGCCCTGCACCCGCATGGGAGACCAGGAGGAAGCACCTGGCTCCTGCCTTTGGATCGGCGCAGCACACTGGCCATAGCGGCCATTTGGGGAGTGAACCAATGGAAGGAAGACCTTTCTGTCTCTCTCTCACTCTCTATGACTCTACCTGTCAAATAAAAAAAGGAAGAGATTCAATAGTCTCCAGTGACAAGAACTCTTCTCATTTTCAGTCATAAATCTTTGCATTTTACCATTCCTCTTTCCATTTGGGATGTGTAGAAGACTTTTGTAGGGGTGGGAACAAAACTCCTTGGCATGCAATTTAAAATTCCTGGTTTTGTCAATGGTTGCTTCAATCTGGGTTTGGCCAGATAACTTGGATTTAAGGTAGGAGGGTTGAATCCTTCTCTCAGTGTCCAATGAAGCAGTCAGCCGAACAACTGAGGTGGGCATATATATGGGAAAATAACCCCCTCTGCAGCCACCTTGCTCAGATCCTAGAATGGCCATGGTTGTACTTGGACCTGTTTTGGAGTCTTTGTGGTGACTTCAGGTCTGTATCTGTTATTCAAGTTAGTCCAGGCCCCAAAGTATAAGAGACGCCAAGCTAAGGGAGCTTGCAGTCCTACAAATCAAGAGAAAAGGGTGCTTTCACCTTTCTGAACACCCATATTCATGGAGATGCGGCTCATGAGTTGGGGATCAGTTCAGTCATGTTGTGACTTGGGGGGAAAGTGCCTTTTTAAGGCACTGACAGTGGAATAATAAATGTCATTATGGGGTTTTCTGTTTAGGTATGTCATCTGAGAAAACATTACCACTTTTGCGACATTCTAAAGAACTGGTTGGACAAGGTGAAGATAAAATTCAAATCCTTGCATCAGAACCAGATGAACCTAGGTCCTAATCTGGGCTCTTCCCTTCACTGGTATGTGACATTGCACAAGTGACTTATCCTCTTTGAGCCTAGGTTCAGTCACCTATATACAGGGAATAATAACACCTCTCTCACATTTGCTGGTCAGAATTAAAAGAACTAGAAATAGGAAGAAGCGGACTGTGAATAATGGCAACTTACGTCAAGTCTCAAGCCATGCTGTAGAAAAATGAGTATGAAATCTCCATGCAGTATTTTCCTCTGCTTCAGTGATATCACAGTTAATCTGGATACCTGAAAGACTATGGGGAGCAGAGCGTCTCTCCAACATTCAAGAAGCTTGAAAAAAAAATAAACCTTTGTTGTGTTAAGTCACTGCAGTTGTGGAGTTGCTAGCTACCTCAGCATAAGCTTTGTCTAACACTACAAACACACAGATGATCCTCAAAGTTTAGTAACAGAGTCATGAGATGCTAGTTAGAATACACATTATATGTGGTTTCCGTAGTGTAGTGGTTATCACATTTGCCTGACATATTATATGTGGTAAAGCTATTTGGGTGGGGGGAGCAGGCAATACATAGTGAGGATTCCTATGGCAAGAAAGAATTACTGTATTATCATATCAGAGAGTTAATAGATAAAAATTGGAATTAATATGCAAGAAATAGTAATCAAAACTTATATATATGATAACAGACATGTAGCCAGAGCAAACAAAGAACACAGCTCAACAATAAAGAGAAAATCAGTCCAAGTTAAAAATGAGCAAAAAATTTGGATACACATTTCTCCAAAGAAGACATACACATGGTCAACAAGCACATAAAAACACGCTGCATCTCATTAGTCATTAGAAAAATACAAATAAAATCCATGGTAAGATTCCACTTCATGCCCACTAAGACTGCTTTCGCAAAAAATACAGGCAATAACAAGTGTTGGTGAGGGTATGAAAAAATTGGAAAACTCATTGCTGGTGGGATTGTTAAATGTCACTATTGCTTTAGAAAACTAGTTTGGTTATTCCTCAAAAAGCTAAACAGAATTATCATATGACTCAGCAATCCACTCCTAGCTTCATACATACACAAGATAATTGGGAACATCTTAATACACAAAAACTTATACACAAATGTTTAGCAATGACATATACTGTGAGGTGGATAAGCCTTGAAAATATAATGGAAAGTTAAGGAAGTCAGACACAAAAGGCCACATGGTCTATGTTCCCACTTCTATGAAATGTTCAGAACAGGCAAATCCATGGAGATATAAAATGATGTTATTGCTTTCCAGGTGTTCCAGGCACAAAGGATTGGCACAATGTTGTGTGCTATTGAGTGTGCGGGTTCTTTTCAGGATAATGAAAATATCCTGGAACTAGATAGTGGTGAGGGTTTCAGAACTCTGCTAATCTACTAAAAACCACTGAACTGTACATGTTTTAAGAGGGTTAATTTTATAGTATATGAATTATATTTCAATAAAGCTAATAAAGGAAATAGCAGCATGTACATATTATTTAGAAATATGGAGGTAAATACCAGAAGAAACCAAAAATGTTTATGACAGTTGCCTCTGGTGAGTGGGAATGTGGAATGGAAAGGCAGACTTCAGTTTCTGATAACAAACTTTTTGAATACTGGAGTTTTTAAAATTTCACGCATGTATCATTTGATAAAAGTCAAAATGAAGTAAAGCAAATTATGTACACACACACAGGTAACACATGTGTTGTGAAGCTAAATCACTGTGAAGTATTGCTCTGAGGTGGGAGCCTGGATTCTGCATTTTCAACAGGATAGGTGATTTTGATGCAGGTGATCTACCAGGAGCTAGCAAACTTTGAAAAACACTACTATATCCAATGGCACAAACATTGAGCAATGAATTGTGGCATAATCCCTCTCCTGCTGTGTTCTTTTTGAAGTGGCAAGTTTCAGTTGCTGAAGAATGAAATCCCATGCTCACGGCTATGTATTCAATCATAGAACTGAGCCTAGAATTAAGGCCTTATGACTCAGTAATTAATGTATGTATTTTTAAATAATCTATTATGTGTTGTGGGGTGCCAAAATGAGTAAGATAATCCTTTACTTTAAAAAGAGTATTCATCAAAGAAGGAGGTACTTTTCTCTGAAGGGAGGAGAGAACTTCCACTTTGCTTATTGCCTTGTCTAAATACTGACAGAGTTTGTGGATTCAAAAGGCTTCCACAGACTAGGCAGCTCAAGTCAAGAGCCTCGGGTGATCCTGATGTCATACATAAGAGCATTTAATTGTTAAATTAACAGCAGAAGTCACTATGCACTAACTTCTCATGCAGGACATCTGTCCTCAAAGTATTGGATTATGAGAGTTAACTGTGATACTTGTTCTCAAAGATTTATTTTAGTGTATTAAGTGGAGGATATTCTTATGTCTCATAAGTTTTAGTTATGCCTAAGTGTCCAACTCCATTTCTTGTTTTCTTAGGTGCTTCCTTAATTAATGGTAAAACTTGTTCTCAAGGAATTATTTTCTTTTAATGTATTAAATGGAGGATATTCTTATGTTTCTTAAGTTATAGCTCTAAGTGCTTGCAAAAAGATGTATCATTCTTAGGTGCTTCTTTAAAGTTATTAAGTTTCTAAAAAAATGAAATTAATTTTGAGATGCAATGACTTTGAACAGCCCTTCTCTGGAATGTTGAGTAACAGTTTGTGTGTGTGTGTGTGCAAATTGTTGAACTCTTTACTTAATATAGAGTTGGTCTTCTGTATATAAATTTAATTGAAAATAGATCTTAGTGGCGAATGGGACTGGGAATGGGAGAGGGAGGAAGAGGGGGGTGGGAGTGTGGGTGGGAGAGCAGGTATGGTGGACAGAATCATTGTATTCCTAAAGCTGTACTTATGAAATGCATGAATTTATATTCCTTAAATAAAATGCTTCTTTGGGAAAAAAGAAAAATAAAGAGAAAATATACAGGGGGTAATTATAATGCTCAACATAAGATTTGCAAAGCATGTTTCCACATTTCATGTCAGAGTTACCACAACTATAAAGTGAGAAGAGGGACATTCTCCAAAGTTTAGAAGGGAACATAGTAGGGATGCAACTTACCAGGAACTCCAGGAGAATCAAAGGGACTTTATTCCTTTGAGGACTGTGGCCCACCAATGGCAGCAGGGGTCATAGGAGAGTGCAGGACCCCCGAGAGGGGGCATACCACCCAACAGATGTGGCACTGCCCAGATCATGGAGAGTAGACACTCAACTCCCAGCTACCTGGACCTCTGACCTCTGCGTACAAGTGAGATCTTTCTCAGCCCTCCCCCAAGGGCAGGAGCCAGCCCAGCATAGTGCCAGTTCTCAGTGCCCCATCTGATCTGATTTACCCTTGTGGGAGGTAAGTTTTATCTCCATTTCACAGATGACAAGGCTGTCCCTTGCAGTAATGCATCTGCAGTGACTGACAGGTTGATTCCTCAAGTAGCACAGTCTTGTGTTGTGACAAGAAGTTTAAGTGTCTCCAACTGTCTTCATAAGCTCATTGAATAGTTTGGTTGCCTAGTATGTATTGCTTTCCTATTTTGTTTATCTTCTATTATTCTCTAATGATGGAAGTAACCCGTGATTGTAGGGGAAGAAGCACAAATGAGAAACAAAAGAATGATCTCTTACAGCCCCACCATGCAGAGAAAACCATTTGTCTTGGGTCTACCCAGTAGCATAGTTTTCCCTGTGCATGGATGTACTATCTATTTTTTTTTTCAAAAATGGGCTGATACTGTATTTGTGGTTCTGAAAACTGTTTTTTATTCTAATTTTACAATGTGCCATGAACATCTCCTCCATGCGCATGGGTGGGAATCCTCTACCAAAAGACAGGGCACTGTAGGTGGGTCAAAAGGCTGCTGGTAACGAGAGTGACACCTAAAGGAAAGTTATCAGCGTTTAAGGTTGAAGCACACAGCCCCGGCAAACGCCTGCCAGGGCAAGCACGGGCCGGCAGTATTCTCGTCAAAGAAATCAGAATCGAAGGCCAAAGCCATTAAACATATGGAACATCTTCTAAGTCCTTCTGGCCCCTCCCGCCGCCCCGGACCCCCCTGACACCCCGCTGGCCCCTCGGGGCGAACGGATCCTGAGCCTCTCTCTGCATCCAGTGGAAACCGCCCGTCTTCTGCTTCTTCCTCAGCTCCTCCTGAGCCCTGGCCGCGTCGGCGCACTCCCGCAGCGTCTCCTCGCTGCCCATGTGCCGGTCCTGGAAGTCCTCGTGCGAGTCCCTGGGGGAGTCGTCCGTGCCCCGGTCCGTTTTCCTTTTGGCTTTCCGGGGCACATAGTCTTCGGCCGGGCGCTTCTCGGCGGTGCGGGGCTCGCTCTCCAGCGGCGGCGCTGGGGCTGCGGGCGGGCCCTCGGCGGGGGGCTTGGCCGCCTCGGCCGCTGGCCCCTCCGCGCCCGGCCCGCCCTCCTCCGCCAGCTGGCCTTGGCCTTCGCCCTTCTCCAAGTTCAGCTTTTCCTCGTCTGCATTTCCTTCGTCTTCCGTACTTCCTTCATCTTCAGGATTTTCCTCATTCTCTAGGTTTCCTTTGTTTTCTGGCTTTCCTTCCTTTTCTTTGTAGAACTTTTCCATGTTGAAACTTTCCCTCCTTTGCCTGTGCCAGGAGACAAAGACAGGACGCTAAGGGAGTTGATGGATGGAGCACAGGTCCTGTTAATACTTACTCTTGCAGACTTACGGTTCCTCCAATCCTATCCTATCTTCCAGTCCTGCTCCACACCCCGCCCCCCCCCCCATGTCCACATAAGCCAACCCTGCAGAAACTTCCACAGGTACTTGTCCTACATTTAAGGGGGAAGGGATGCGCTGAGAAATGTAAGGAGCCCATTGGTCCCTCAACTTGGCTCTGGCCTGGCTATGGTCACACCAAGTTTAACTGAGTATTCCTTGCAGGAATCCTGGGTGATTTTCTTTTTCCTCTTGCCTGCAGTTGTAAAACTTACAAAACTGGAGACATAACAGAACCATGGCAGGTTCTCAGATTTCAGGGCTACTCTCATATCACAGATGCCACACCTCCCTTCTCTCTCTCACTTCTGGATTCTACCCTCTCTTCTCTCCAGCCAAAAGACATCGGATTCCCTCGGGGTCCTGACAGTGATCATTTATCCTGAAATGACAAGAGGGAGGATTGGAGGAGAGGTTGCCCGTACTAACCTCCCCCCAACTTCTGCTCCAGCTTAAATCACTCTTTTTCCCCAGGGGCCCTGGTGACCTTCTCCCACAGACCTGCACTTACACGGCAAGTGTTTCCTATCCTTGTCTGGGGGTGGTGTCCACAACCACAGACCTGAAGACCTGCAGAGGGATGGCGACAGATGGTGAATGAGGGATGGAGAAAGTAACTGGCCACTGGGACACTGGCTCTTTTCAGATCCCATTTATCAAAACTTTTGCTACTCCTTCCACCCTGTGGCCCTTTCCTCTGCTTTCTCTGATTGCCCTGGTATAGCTTTTCTATCACTGGTCAGTGGGAAAGAAAGATTATCTCCACGGTGTTCCTGTGTCTGAATCCTCCTCCCAAATTTCCATCCCGTCTTTTCTTGCACTAGAATGAGTGAGGTTCGAGACAGTGATGTTCAGAAGGGAGATGCTGTGGCACTCAGATCTCTGCATTTCAAATCCCCCACCCAAGGGCAACCAGATGGTACAAAGTGCACCACTGCTCTGAAAATGGTGATGACAGAGGCAGCGGGAAGGACAGAAATGCCCAGAACACTCCTGCCACCCCTTCAGTTCCCACATTCACAGAAAAGCCACATTTTCCTGTAACGCAGGATAGACGTTATTTACATATTCTAGGCATTTTGTTCATGCTATAATCTCTCAGCTTTCCCTAGGACAGAAGCAGTTCCTCCTCTCTGTCCCCTTTTTCTATAGCACCTGCTCACCACCCCCCACTCCCCCGAAGCCCACCATTTCCGGCTCCAAAATGGATGGAGAGGAGAAAAGAGATACAGAGAACTCAGGCCTGAACCCGTTGTGGGGTCCGCCCTCCATATCCTGGGGTCCTGGACTATGCCCCACCTCCCAGTGCCCTGAAGGGAATCAGACTGTATCCTCTCTGTCCCCTGCCCCCTCCCTCCTCCTCCATCAGATGTCGCGGGATCGCTGGCTTCGTAGGAGATGCCACTGGTACCCATTCTAAAAACCCCTAATCCCTCTCGAGTCCCCCCCCCCCACACACACACACCAAGCCTGCACCAAACGAATAGGCTTCGGAAAAGGAGTGGAGAGCATCCAGTCGTGCACTTGCTCTGATCTTTGCCCTCTGTCACTCGGACCCCATGGGTCAACGGGCCGTGATTTGTAGCCACCCGGGGAGAGAGATGACTCCTTACATTTCTTTCTGCCAGAATCCCACACTTCTCCAGGGAAATAAGACACTGGTACTCACACCTCTCCCCCAACACTCACACAATTTTCTGCGCCAAAATGAATGAGGCTGAAGGGGGAGGGGATAGGGAGATCCGGAAAGCAGACTGATCCTCCGTCGCCGCTGTCAGTTACCATCCCCACCTCAGGGGGGCCCGGGCTGGTACCGACCTGCAAGAGCAACTGCCCCCTCTGTCCCTCAGTCTGAAGTCTGCCTTCCTCTACGGAAACAGGGAGCTGCTACCTGGAGCAGAGGGACTTCTGCACACGTCGGCTCCTGATCACGTGGTTGAAACGTCACCAGTGGGCTCGGGTCCCTAGTTCCCCTCCCCGCGGCAGAAAGTGCGTCAGGAGCCAGTCCTCCCCCACCCCGCACCCCCGCACCCCTGCACCCTCGCCCTGACAGTCTCCCGCGTAGAGCCCTGCGGTTCATTTTGGCCTTTGCTAATGGCAGAGGTTGAATGTGGCCCCTTCCCCGCCCCCCCCCCGGGGGGTATGTATTTATTCTGTGATGATCAGGGAGGGGCTGCATCTTCTGGGACTACCAGCCATTGAGAAGAGCTCTCAGGAATATTTTCCCTTCTTTTCTCCCAACGTCCTATTTCTGTCTACTTTTCCACTCAGCCACTGGTGTTCACTCGTGAGACCTTCACACTGTGAATACAGGGTGGATTGTCAAGTAGGAAAGTAAGTAGTTGAAACAGAGGTTTTCTTTTTTTTTCAGTTTTATTTAATTGACTCCCTTCAGCATGGAATATTCATATATTACCACAAAATTAAATAAGCCTTTTTCATTTAGAAGAAAGTCTGTAAGATAGAAAAGATATGTGACAAGATTTGAAAATTTTTTACTCAGACCAAATTAAGTTCAAAATATTAACTTTCCCCATATAGAAATTGGATGTACTTGGCTGCATGCAAAAACATGTTTTTAAACTTTTCATAAATATCTAGTTCTGTCATGTTTATTTTATCTTTAAAAACAGTGTTAGTGTTCTCAAACAATTGCTGAGTGATCAGTAGACTTGCTGGAATCTGACGGTTGACACAGGTCAGTTTGGAATATTTGCACGCTTAGCTCTGGGCAGAGAGAAGAGCTGTTACACAGGTGACTGAAGGTGTGAGGGATGCAGAGGTGGCCCCATCCCAAGTATCCTATCAAGAGGTGGGAGAAACATGCTGTCCACCTCCTCCACCAATATACCAGAGCCTCTCAGCCCCTGCATTCAGGCACCTCACTCTGTTGATCACTCTAAAACCTACATGCACAGATGACCATGGGCTTGACCTGAGTAAATGCCTTAGGCTCCTTTCCTGCTCCCTCCCCCACATTTCCAAAGTGGTAAGTCCCCCAACAGAAAGGGGAATAGTATTCCTTTCACTGGAAGTCAGAACAATCCCTCTAGAGCTCTGAGCTGAGGATTTCCGTGAAGTTTGGAAATGGTTGCTATGGGGAGAGCCCCTAGACCAGGCTGGTCTCTTCCATTATTCATGGTGTCCAAGTAGAATCTTCCATGGCCCCTGTCTGCTATCTCCCATCTCACTCAGGAGGTGTGGCCTACTAGGTCTCTCAACTCTGCTACCTTCATCTTTTAGGCACCTAGGAGGAGCCTGGCTATGCACAAGATGCCCCCTCCACCGAATTTTGGCCCACGCCTGAAGAATGCTGATGTGCTGACCATAGTGATTGGCCTAGACTAGGTGTTCTCAACTGACAAAAATCTGTGGGACCCCCTGCAATGGTCTGCCAGGTTGCATATGTTTAGAAAGTAGTGTAGTATATACACTTTTGTGAGAAGAAGATCTGTACCCTAGGAAGCTGCTAAATGCTGTTATACAAGTAGGCTGACATAATGAGCAGCAGGCATTTTGAGGCAGAAATACACAGAAAGGAGAAGCAGCAGCTACTTGGAAATAAAATGGCAAGTGGAAGAGCCAAGCAGTCACTGAGCCTTATTAAAGGAGCTTACCTACTCCTTGGGTTCAGGCATTACTACACTATGAATTCACTAGAATCATGTTCAAAATCGTGTTCATGCTTCTGTGTGTGGTGGGGAGGTGGATAGAATATATAAATTGTACTTGATGTGTGTATTTGCTGAGAATAGGGTCTACTGCTCTCATTAGATGTTCAAAGGAATATGTAATATAAGAAGGTGAAGGCCAGTGGCCCAGAAAACAAACTTTTGAGCACATATGTTTTTTAAAAGATTTATTTATTTATTTGAAAGTCAGAGTTGCACAGAGAGAGCAGAGAGAGAGAAAGAAAAAGAGAGGTCTTCCATCCACTGGTTCACTCCCCAATTGGCCACACAGCCGGAGCTGTGCTGATCCGAAGACAGGAACCAGGAGCTTTTTCCGGGTCTCCCATGCGGGTGCAGGGGCTGAAGGACTTGGGCCATCTTCTACTGCTTTCCCAAGCCATAGCAGAGAACTGGATAGGAAGTGGAGCAGCCGGGTCTTGAACCGGCGCCCATATGGGATACGGGCACTGCAGGCGGTGGCTTAACCTACTACACCACAGTGCTGGCCCCCGAACACATATATTTTTCAAACAGAGCTATCATGATTCTCTCTTTTAAGGATAAATTCACAGAACATAAAACAAACAATTTTAAAATGTGCAATTCAGTGCCATATAGTACATTCAAGGTGATCAACTGCCATTCTACTTCCAAAAGAGTTTCATCAACCCAAAAGAAAACTCTGTACCCACAATTCCACCTACTCCTCAGTTCCTACCAGTGATTAATCTCTCTGTCTTATATTTACCTTGATATTTATATTATGCTTGACACTTCATATAAATAGAATTATAGAATGTGAGATACATTGTGTCTGGCTTCTTTCATTTAGCATATTTTCAAGGTTCATCTACATTGTAGCATACACAATATTTAGTTTCCTTTTATGAATGAATAATATTTGATTGTATTGGGGCCAGCATTGTGGTGTAGTGGGTAAAGCCACCACTTGTGACATCAGAATTCCATATGGGCACTGATTTGAGTCCCAGCTGCTCCACTTCTGATCCAGTTCCCTGCTAATGTGCCTGGGAAAGCAGCAGAGGATGGCCCAGGACTTTGGGCCCCTGCACTCATGTGAGAAACTCAGAAAAAGCTCCTAGCTCCTGGCTCCTGGCTTAGGACCGGCCCAGCCCTGGCTGTTGTGGCCATTGAGGGAGTGAACCAGCAGATGTAAGATCTCTCTCAATCTCTGTCTCTCCCTCTCTCTTTGCAACTCTGCCTTTCAAATAAATAAACAAATCTTTTTAAAAATGTAATTGTATGCACATACCCCATTTTGTTGATCAATTCATTAGTGGATATTTGGGTTGTTTCTTCCTTTTGACTATTGTGAATATTGATGCAATAAACATCCCTGTATAAGTTTTTGTATGGATATATGTGTTTATTTCTATTGGGTAATTACCTAAAAGTAGAATTACTGGATCATATGATAATTCTATGCTTAAACTTTTAAGAAATCACTAAATTGTATTCCATGGCAGCTGCGACATTTTGCATTCCTACCAGCAAGCTAGAAGAGTTTCAATTTCACCATACCATATTACAAAAATAATTAACTTCCATTTTCTTTATTTACCATTCTACTGAGTGAGAAGTAGTTTTTATTTGGATTTTCCTAATGAGTAATTATGTTGAGCATCTTTTCATGTACTTCTTGGATATTTGTATATCTTCTTTGGAGAACTATCCAAGTTCTCTGCCCATTTTTAAAACATGGTTGTCTTTTTGTTGTTTCATTATAAAAATTCTTTATATATTCTGAACATTAACCCCTTATCAGATACATGATCTGCAAATATTTCCTTCTATTCTGTAGGCTATCTTTTCACTTTCTTGATAATGTCCTTTGACAAAAGAAAGTTTTCATTTTGATGAATTTCAATTTATATATTTTTTTATCTTGTTGCACGTAATTTTTGTGTCATATCTGAAAATCCACCACTAAATCCAATGTCACAAAGATTTAAACCCTTTACCCTCTTCTTCTAAGACTTTTATAGTTTTAGCTTTTACATTTAGGTCTTTGATCCATTTTGAGTTAATTTTTTTTGTGTATGGATGTGATCCAAGGGCACTTTATAAGATTTTAAGTTTCTTGGGCTTGATTCCACCCTATACAGCTGTTCTTTGTAGCAGTACTCTTCTATCTCTGTCCTCCACCTTCTCTCCCACCTAAGCACAAACCAAAACTCTATGGAAGATATTATGGACATGGGCATGAGCCCTCTGAGGTCTCAGAACTATCTTTTCAGTCGTGAACCAAAGGCTGACGAAGATTATCACTTTAAAGTGGACAATGACAAAAAGAAATGAGCACTAGTTGTCCTTAAGAATAGTCAGTGCAAAGGATGAAATACACATTGTTGAAGCAGAGGCAATGAATTATGAAGGCAGTTCAGTTAAAGTAATACTGGCAACTTTGAAAATGCCTGTACAGCCAATGGTTTCCCTTGGGGACTTTAACATAATGCCACCTGTGTTTTTAAGGTTCAGGGTCTGAACATATTGATGGACAGCACTTAGTAGCTGTGGAGGAAGATGCAGAGTCAGAAGATTAAGAAGAGGAGGACATAAAACTGTGAAGTATATCTGGAAAGCAATTTGCCCCTGGAAGTGGTAGCAAGGTACCATTAAAAAAAGTAAAAATTGCTGCTGATAAGATGATGATGAAGAAAATGATAATAATGGTGGTGCAGAAACTGAAGAAAATGCTCCAGTGAAGAAACCTCTATGAGATGTCCCAGCAAAAAAAAAAAATGCATAAAAAATCAGACCAGAATGGGACAGACTCGAAATCATCAACATGGAGATCAAAAGGTCAATAATCCTACAAAAAAAAAAGAAGAAAGAAAAAAAAAAAAACTCCTAAAACACTAAAAGGACCTAGTTCTGTAGAAGACATTAAAGCAAAACTTCAAGCAAGTATAGGAAAAGGTGGTTTTCTTCCCAAAGCAGAAACCAAGTTCATCAATCATGTGAAGAATTGCTTCCAGATGACTGACAAGAAGGCTAGTCAAGATCTTTGGCACTGAAGGAAGTCTCTTTAAGAAAATAGTTTGGACTATTTGTTAACATTTTCCATATTTGTTTCATTTCTATAACAATTTGTATCTACATTCCTTTTTAGAATTCAGAGTAAGAACTTTTCCTATCATGTTTGATAAATGTTGCCCAGTTTCCATTGCCAAGAATGTGTTGTCCAAAATGCCTGATTAGTTTTAAATATGGATTCCACCTTTTGCTTGGTTTTAAATATCTAT